TTTTTTGTACTTTCGGTTGACAAATCTGATAAGAATATAATTTTAAACAAATATTATGAAAAGCTGCTACAATATGTTAATTTTTTAAAAACAATTATGTGCTTTATAATATTAGTACGTTCATCATGAACATTTGTATTAATTATGTACATGAACGAATTTTTTTAAATACATTGGTAATACATAGTTATTTCAAAGGTTAAGTACAATATGATTTATGGTACATGATGGTTCAAATATGGTTTTTCTTATTATTTTCTCATCTAATCGTCTTTCAACAAAAGTTAAGAAAATAAAAAGTATATATAATAATTTAGTTAGTTTTGATGTTTTAAAAGTTAGTATTTTGAAGCAAAAACAGATAATGAAATTTGAAATAGGAGGGAGGTGTATATTTTCCAGCCATGTAAAATTAGAAATTTCTTGTGTTTGTTAATTTTTATCGCGCTTGGTTTGGTAGGATGAAGGAATTGAGATTTGAAGATGTGGTCAACTTTTTATTCGCTGGATACCCAACACCGAATGGATATCTCGGCCCATACAGACGGGAGCGTTACCATTTGCCTGATTTTCGAAGGACATCTGGGTTTGAAAATAACAATGAGATCTTTAATTATTTCCATTCAAGTTTAAGGAGTACAATTGAAAGAACTTTCGGAGTTTGGAAAAAAAAGTTCGCAATCTTACAAAACATGCCATCTTATGATTTTGAAACACAAGTTAAAATCGTTTGTGCAACGATGGCTATACATAATTTTATTAGAACGACATCTATTACTGATCCTGGATTCGTTCAGTTGGAAGAATAAGGTACTTATGCAGAAGATGATGATGATGGGGTTAGATTTTCACGTATACATTCATCAATTCAATCTTCATCTTACATGGCTTAGGTTCGTGACAGCATAAGAGATGAACTTGTTAATTCAATATGAGGATAGTAGTCATGTCTTATTTATTTCCTTTTATCATAGATTGTAATATGTAGTTAAAAACAAAACCTATTACAAATGCTTTGTATCGATGCATCATCTTAATGATTATGACACTTCTTTATTTATATTTCTCTTATTAATATTATGCCTTATATTCTCAAGCTAATTATTACTTACTTGAATAATTAATAAATTATTTTAAGACGTGTTTATTCTATTTTATCAAACAATATCATCCCATTTTATGTTTATAATCTTCATGAAAAATACATGACTTTCTGTTTGCAACAAAATAATTCATCTTCTCTAAAAATATTTTTCACTCTTATATTTTATGAATATATATGTGTGGTAACAATTAATTAATTAATTGTATTAAACATCAGAGGTTATTATACATGTAGTATGTTATTACAAAAAGTAGTTGTGAAAAAATGTTATGGGATTTCACGTTTACAATCTTTAAACAAAATTAATATTTTTCTGTTATAAAAAAATCATTTTTCTATAAACATATTTAATATTATGTTTTATAAATATATGTACACATATTAATTATGTATTAATTATATTATCTTATATATTATTAATTATGTTAGTAAAAATTATTTCATTAACAATTTTATTTCTTCAAATCAAAATAAATCATAAAATCTATCCCTTATATAATTATCATATTAACTTATACCCTTTTTGGTCATTTCCACATGTAAAAAGCACTTCTGGTAATAACAATCCAAACACTCTCACTTCTCAAAATCTATTCTCCACAGAATCTATTCTTCAGAATCACTTTTCCAAACCACGGTTTGAAGTCATCCAAACACACCCATAGAAGAGGATGCAGATTATTAAAACTGATTGCTTGTGTTATCACTTACTCAGCATTTTTTCCGGCCAGATTTTTTCATTAAAAATTAAAAATTAAAAGAAAGAAAGAAAGAAATTCTAGGCCCATGTCCCACAGAAGTTGTCTATATAAACCCTCCCACTCCGGCAGTATTGGGCACAGGGCAAGCAAATTGCAAATCACTCATATTACAGCATTTTGAAGTTATTACAAGTTTCTGCTTGTTTCAGTAGCGAAAACAATGGCGGGTCTCCTGAAGGTGGCATGCATGATGGTGCTGTGTCTGGCCGTGGTGGCCGCACCCATTGCCGAAGCCGTCACTTGCGGCCAGGTCACCAGCAGCCTCGCACCATGCCTCACTTACCTCCAGAGGGGTGGCGCTCCCGCACCCGGCTGCTGCAATGGCGTCAGGACCCTCCTCGGCGCCGCTCAGACCACCGCCGACAAACAGACCGTCTGCAACTGCCTCAAGAACGCCGCCGGCCAGATCCCCGGACTCAACCCTCAGAATGCTCAGAACCTTCCTGCGCAATGCAAGGTCAACATCCCCTACAAGATCAGCACCTCCACCAACTGTGCCAGGTATATTTATATATATGTGTCTATACATATGTGTGCGTTCTTCTTGTACATCATTATTATTTAGTGAAGCTGATGTTTTGATTATTTTGGTGAATGACGATGCAGCATCAGGTTCTGAGGATGATGAGAAGGCAACGGCGTTGAAGAATAAAGGAAGGATCACTTAGCTATCTTTGTGGGAGTCTACTTTTGAAGTGTGTCCAATGGTTTCATGTCTTGATACATGTTAGTTTTAATTAAGTGTACTTTGTGTCAGTGGATTAATATGTGTGTCATTTTCGCTGCGTCATGTATTGATCACACACCTTCAATTTCCATGGTAGTACTTTGATTATATATATAATCCTCTTTTTCTTTTTTCTTTTTAAATATTTGTTTACATAAAATACCTAAAAAGGTTTTTAAAAATATTTTAGGGTTATTATAAAATAATAAACATGAACAGGGAAAAACTTGTCCTTCTTTGTTTCTGCGCTAATGGGCAAAACGACGTAGTTTCATTCAGGCGAAGTGAAAGGCGGGAAAGGGTAAAGCAGATGAGGGATGCGACAGAATTAGCCTGAGCAGTGTACGGAGGCCCTGACCAATGAAAAAGACAATTGACTGATTGCATTAAATTGCTTGTCCATCGATTCGAGAAAAGAAGAAATAACATTGGAAAGGAAAATTGTTACATTTTTTTTTCTGCATGAAATAGAATACATGGTTTAACAAGTATGAAGCTTTCAGATCAAAAAAAAAAAAACAAGTATGAAGCATCTTTAACTAATATTTTTTCAAAGAGGTGTTGTGTGTTCCATGAATCTTGTTAGTTTCTCATTTGGGAAGATCTCAAAAATAACTATTAAATTTTAAAATTTCAAATCATAAATTATTATAAAAATATATTGTTATTTGTTTTTTTAATATAGTCATGCTAATATAATAACCAATATAGATTTGAAATTTTAAAATTGAACAATCACTTTTTTAAGGTTTTATCTTCTCATTTAGCCATGTTCTTCTTATAACATCTTTTCATCTAAATTATGGATGTAAAAAAGTAAATTAATACATTCATTCTTTAATATGATAATTATTTTGTAGTTTAATTTAAAATATAAACTAAATCTTATGTTAAGAACTCAACAAAGCATATTGTTTTTTCTTTTCAAAAAATAAAACGATGATTAAATAAAGCACCATACTTAATCAGGTTGGTACAAACTTAAATTGAGTTGGAAGGAAAATAACAATAGCAAATCAACCTGCTTCTATTCCATTAGAGACATGAATTTAGATGAAAATCAAATCATAATTTTATAATATATGAAATAAATATGTGAGGAAAGTTTTGTTGATGTAAAATCATTTTTCTAAATAGTTTTACTTGGTACCGAACATTTTTTTTGGTAAATACTATCTGTGATCCTTAATATGAGAGCTTGTTTGATTTTTATTTTGATTCTGAATATAAAATCTCAATTCATTTTGTTCTTTATATTTATTTTTTAAAAGAAAAGATAATCCTTATAATTACGATAGTTTTACTTAATACATTCAATTAATAAGAATATTTTAGAAAAGATAACACCTATTTATTACTCCCTCCGTTTCTTATTATAAGAGACAAATAACCAAATTACGTTGATAAAAAAACAGTTAAAATTAGTTGAGGACAATTAATGTGTAAAAAATATAATGTTTTTTTCAACAATGCCCCCATTAATAAGGAGAGAGAGTATGTGGGAGAACAATTAAATTATTAAAAAAAAAGTGGGAGAAAGAGAGAGTATGAGTTGGAGACAAAATAAATAGGGGTAAAATAAGAAATCAATACAAAAAAAATAGAGACAATTTTTAAGTGTCTCTTATATATAGGAACATGTCATAAGCATCAAATATCTCTTATAATAAGGAACGGAGAGAGTATAAAAATACTAATTAAATTAAATTTTTTAATTTATTAAAATTAATTAATTAGTTTTTATATTAAAAATAGTAGCAAGAACAAAAGTTCATATGATAGGTAAAGAAGTTAATACGAAGGACACACCCCTTCAATATCTGCCTTAACTAACTACTCAAGAGAAGAAAAACTTGCTCATAGATGGAGAAGTTGAGTAAGGTAGTCTACCATGGTTGGGAGATGGCGTGATAAAGTGGTGGCGTTGGAATCATCGGAGACTCACAAACAGTATTTCATTACCGAGTACGAGTAAATTCCTTCAACTGAATAATTACTGTGGTAATATATATTGAACTGAAATCAATTAAAGGAGGTGAAGTTCAGCGACTACCGGCAAATTCAAGTTAGGGAGCGGTAGATAATGTTGGGCACCGATGCTGGTCGCAATCACCTGCTTCGCGTACTTCAATATCACGATTCGTATGCTGCCACGTGGTGACAGGACGAGACTGTGTATCAGAATTCGCACTTAATTGGCTTACAACAACCAACAACCTTTACCTATGCCCCGCGCGCCCGCCTCCTATCTATTCTTCTCTTTCCCCGCCCCCCCAGTACGGTCCCTCGCATCTCTTCCTCCTATTTATGTTTTAAAAATTAAAAAAAGAAAAGAAATTCTAGGCCGAAGCCCCTGAGAAGTTCTCTATATAAACCCACCCACTCCTACACTATTGGGCACTGAGCAAGCAAATCTCAATTCACTCATATTACAGTATTTTAAAGTTTTATAAGTTTCTGCTTTCAAGTTTCAGTAGCGAAAACAATGGCGGGTCTCATGAAGGTGGCATGCATGGTGGTGCTGTGTGTGGCCCTGGTGGCCACACCCATTGCCGAAGCCATCACTTGCGGCCAGGTCACCACCAGCCTCGCACCATGCCTCTCTTACCTCCAGAGCGGTGGCGCTCCGGCACCCGCCTGCTGCAATGGAGTCAGGAGTCTCCTCAGCGCGGCTCAGACCACCGTCGACAAACAGACCGTCTGCAACTGCCTCAAGGGCGCCGCCGGCCAGCTCCCCGGACTCAACCCTCAGAATGCTCAGAACCTTCCTGCGCAATGCAAGGTCAACATCCCCTACAAGATCAGCACCTCCACCAACTGTGCCAAGTATCTCTCTCTCTCTCTATATGTATGCGCATCTTGTTCATTATTATTATTATTATTATTATTATTTACTGAAGCTGAAGTTTTGTTTATTTCGGTGAATGGCGATGCAGCATCAGGTTCTGAAGATGATGAGAAGGCAATGGCGTGGAAGAATAAAAGAAGGACCACGTAGCTATATTATGGGAGTCTACTTTTGAAGTGTGTTTTAATTAAGTGTACTTTGTGTCAGTTGATTAGTATGTGTATCGGTATCGCTGTGTCATGTATTATTCACAAATCTTCAATTCCATGGTGCTACATTTGATTTTATATCCTACCTCCGATCCTTAATATAAGATCTTATTTGACTTTTTATTTGGTCCTAATTATAAGACCCCAATCCATTTTATCTATCATATTTATGCATTTTTTTCCAAGATAGTCCTTCTAATAATGATAGTTCTAGCCAATACACTTAATTAGTAAGGATATTTTAGGAATGATAACACTTATTTATTACAAATAACTAATTTAACTTACTTCTTTGATCTCCTCAAATAAGTCAACGGGGTCTTATAATTAGGACCGGAAGTAGTATAATATAATCGTCTTTCTTTCTTCTTCTTTTTAATTAAATAATTTTTTTACAATATATCCTCTTTTTCTGCAAAATGATCGTTATGTGAGTGTGTCTACGTAATGAATATGTGTATATTCCCCACATTTTGTGCTCAGACAATTCCAAAAAGAAAAAGGATCAAGATTTTTTGGGGACCGTTTTCTTTGAACTTTTTTGGGAGTTCCCAGTTGAAACTGAGATCTGAATGTGCACGTTTAGTTTGCAATAGAAAGTAAATGAGAGTGACAAAAATAAGGAAAAAGAAAAAGAAAATACAAAAGATTTGAAATACCCAACGTACACCTGACCCAATGACCAAAGTGCTCTGAGGAGGTGCCAAGAAATCATACAACAGATAGTGTCTAAGACCACCGTCGACAAACAGACCGTCTGCAACTGCCTCAAGGGCGCCGCCGGCCAGCTCCCCGGACTCAACCCTCAGAATGCTCAGAACCTTCCTGCGCAATGCAAGGTCAACATCCCCTACAAGATCAGCACCTCCACCAACTGTGCCAAGTATCTCTCTCTCTCTCTATATATGTATGCGCTTCTTGTTCATTATTATTATTTAGTGAAGCTGAAGTTTTGTTTATTTCGGTGAATGACGATGCAGCATCAGGTTCTGAAGATGATGAGAAGGCAATGGCGTTGAAGAATAAAGGAAGGACCACGTAGCTATATTATGGGAGTCTACTTTTGAAGTGTGTCCCCATGATTTTATGTCTCAATACATGTTAGTTTTAATTAAGTGTTCTTTGTGTCAGTTGATTAGTATGTGTATCGGTATCTCTGTGTCATGTATTATTCACAAATCTTCAATTCCATGGTGCTACTTTTGATTTTATATATAATATAATCCTCTTTCTCTTTTTTATTTTTTTTAATTAAATAATTTTTTACAATATATCCTCTTTTTCTGCATAATGATCGTGATGTGAGTGTGAATACGTAATGAATATGTGTATATTCCCCACATTTTGTGCTCAGACAATTCCAAAAAGAAAAAGGACCAATATTATTTGGGGACCGTTTTCTTTGAACTTTTTTGGGAGTTCCCAGTTGAAACTGAGATCTGAATGTGCATGTTTAGTTTGCAATAGAAAGTAAATGAGAGTGACAAAAATAAGGAAAAAGAAAAATAAAATACAAAAGATTTGAAATACCCAACACCTGACCCAATGACCAAAGTGCTTTGAGGAGATGCCAAGAAATCATACAACAAATAGTGTCTAGGCAGAGCTGGTAATACGGGGGTCCAGCCCGCCAGCCCGTCAAGGTGAGGGCTACTCCAGCCCGTACCGTTTTCAGCCCGCTCCGTTGCGGGCTAGCCCGCTTTTTTTTTTTAATTTTTATTTTTATATAATTTCTAATATATTATACAACATAATTGGAGGGTTTTAACCCCCAAATTTCATATTTACATCTTCCCATTCATGTAATTGCATGTGTAATACATACATAAAAGATTTACTTAATTAATTTGGATAAGAAAAATAGTCAAATTAATTATTTAGAAAAAAATGTGTTAGTTTTTTTAAACTATCTTCTCAAATTATAAATTAATCCTCACATTATTTTATTATAACTCATTACTCAAGTTTAAAACTCCAAGTCCAATTTTAACATTACAAACTAAGCTCAAACCTATACAAATAATAACATTTTTTTTAAAAAAAAAAAAGTTAGGTGGGCCGGCGGGCTCGGGCTGGCATTTAAAGTGCGGGCTACTTCAACCCGCACCGCTTTTGGCCCGCACCGCTGCGGGCTGGCCCGTATCGGCACCGCCAGCCCGCATTCCCAGCTCTATGTCTAGGGGGTATTTGGGTAATCTCAGAATCACTTTTCAGAATCATTTTTTCACAAATCGAAACAAACTCCTCTGCATATTTACTTTATATACCGTAAAAACATTTCTGAAACCATAATTTTGATCTTACCCAAACACCCCCTAAGTAGACCTGGGAAAGCGGGCTGGCGGTGCGGATACGGGCCAGCCCGCCGCAGTGCGGGCCAAACGCGGTGCGGGCTGAAGTAGCCCGCACCTTGGCAGGCTGGCATTTTGCCAGCCCGCCAGCCTGCCTAAATTTTTTTATATTTAAATTTATTATATTAGTATGAGTTAAGCCTAATTTAAAATGTTGAAATTAGGCTCCGAGTTTTAAACTTGAGTAATGGATCCTAATAAAAAAAAAGAGAATTAATTTATAATATTAGAAGAAATTTAAGAAAAACTAACATATATACTTTTTATAAATAATTAATTTAACTAGTTTTCTTATCCAAATTAATTAAGTAAATCTTTTATGTGTGTGTATGTATGACTATATGAAAATCACATATTTATCTAATCTTATGAAGCCGTGCATACTAACGACAAATAGATATAAAAATAAAAGATGGATAGTGCTCTTCATATAACCATACATATATATGAAGTGCTTAATTAATTATATATATAATGATATGGATGAGGTAATGTCCATATGAAATTTAATGGTCAAAATCATCTAACTATATTATATAATATATTAAAAATCAGAAAAAGTAAAAAAAAAAAAAACGGGCTGGCCCGCCAACCAGCAGGTTAGCCCGCGGCGGAGCGGGCCAAAAGCGGTGCGGGCTAGAGTAGCCCGCACCGTGACGGGCTGGGAAAACATCAACCCAAGCCCGCCTTTTTTGGCGGGCTGGGTCCGCGGGCCCAACCCATATTACCGGCTCTACCCCTAAGGTTCGGAAAATACATGATTTTCTGTTTCCTATCTTAGATTTTCACTCTGCCAAACAGGTCATTTTAAAAAGACAATATTACCTCTGCTTCTTATTATAAAAATTTATTTAACTTTTAATTTAATTTTAAATATAAGATTTTAATCCATTTTATCTTTTATATTTATTTATTTATTTAAAGTAGTCCTTACAATAGTTATACAAATTAAATATTTTATCAAATAGTAATTCTAGTTAATACATATGATTAGTAAAGATATTTTAAAAAAAAACACCTATTTCTAACAAATAGGTGTTGACTTTCAAAGTAGTTAACAGCTTCGTTCTTTACTATAAAAATTTATCTGACTTTCAATTTACTCTTAAACATAAGATCCCAACCACTTCATCTTTCATATTTATATATTTTTTCAAATTAGTCCTTCCAGTAGTTACACAATTAAATGATAATTCTAGTTAATATACATAATTAATTAATATATTTTAGAAAATACAATACCTATTTATAACAAATACCTAATTTAACTAATTTTTTTAATCTTATCAAATTAATCAATTAAGTCTTATGTCATTTAATTAAGTCTTATATTAAGTATATGAGGCAGTAACATTTAAATAAAAAGCATGTTATGAACCGATTGGTGGAGAAAGGAGACGAGGGATAACCTTATCTATCCTCCTCGATTAACGGGGGAAGACGATAAGCGACGTACGGTTACGATTTATCCAAAGAAATATGAACGGACGTTGTTTTATTGGCCTGAAATGTACGGCGTCGATTTATTCACCATATCAAACAAAATGACGTGGGAGGTGTTCGGCCAACTCAAAAAATATGTTTTTGAAAAACTCTTTTTCATAAAATAAGATAAATTCTTTTATATATTTATTTTGTGTATCATGAAAATAATTTTAAAATTATAATTTGTTTTCTATCTAAATAGCCCTCATTTCATTTACGTGCAGTGAAAGGCAGGGTGCCTCAGAATTGGCCTGACCAGTAAAAAGACAATAATGAACAGATTGCATTTATTAATTGCTTGTTATTTGTCAATCCATTCAGAAATAAATGAAAAAGGTACTAATTTTCTCTTCAGAGCCTCTGGCTCCACCATCTTATATTGAGAACCTTAAAAATTTATGAAAGTTAATTTCGCAGGTTATCTTGCTAATTTTGTGCTAATGGTTTTCTTTGTTTAAGGATTTTGCCATGTTTTATGATTTAGACCCCTAAAAAATTGTGCAGCGGCATTATTTAGGTTGTGATTAGTTTTAAATTTGACAGAACTATTATGTTTAGCAGGCATATTAGGAAAAAGTTGATAAACTGAAAATTGTTTGCGCAATAGATCTTTTATGTAAAACTGAGGTAGTGCTAAAAAAGACACAAATTTTATGATGTGATTTTTGTTATGTAAAAGTAGATTTATTAAAAATATATATAAATAATGTAAACTTTGATGTGTTGATTAATATATATAACAAAAATTATATAAATAATATCAAGTGCATGCACATTATTTGTGTGTGTATATTATATAATTAAATCTTAAATTACTCAAGTCTCACAAGCAAACTGTACTTTGCATATCTGCCTTCTTTGATATTTCCCATTTCTCTCCGTAATAAATTACTGGGAGAATTGTTGAAAATTTTGTTATTGAAAAATTTAGTATCAAAAAACACGTTAAATTTGTTTAAGAATTTAAGGCATGTTTTGCACGTATAACTCTTTCTTAGTTGTATGCAATTTATTTTTAATTATATCTAAAGTGAAAGACATTTAAATTTCACATAGTCAATAATATGTTAGATACAGTTAAAAAAAGAATTTATGTATGTTAAAGATAAGTGGCACTCATTTAAGAACGAAAATTGCTGGGTACCTTTAAAGTTTGGAGCTTGGACAATAAATTATATGGTTAATGCGAAAATTTATCCCAGAAGTTGTTTTTACTAAGAAATGTTAAGCACTCAAAAGGATTTTAGGTCTAATATTATCCCAAAAATTTAAAATTATAACAATTTTGACCCTTTACAATTAAAAATGTTAATAGTTAATATCAATATTTTAATTAATTTGTTAGTAGCAGGAGGCAACTTTGTTATATTTTCAAATTTTCATTATAATATTAAACCAAAAAAAAATCTTCTGGGTGTCTGATGCTTGCAAGCGACAATTTTCGGTACAAATTTGTATTCAGATCCAAAATTCTGTAATAGACAATTTTACCCCGGCAATCTCCGCTAAACAATTTTTTTGTTGTTGTCTACTCAGTTCACCGGAGCTTTGCTCTGACTACATTTGGATCCGACCCGCGTCGCGCACCTGGCTGTGATAAGGCTCGAACTTGAGACCTCATTTAAGCAGTACCAAACCTTTTACCACTTAGACTAACTCCTGTTGGTATCTCCGCTAAACAATTATGTGTTCTTTTAAGGGTAATGTGGAATCCAGACTTTCAAACTAGCATGTGCAAAAGCCGAAAGCCACTTCAACAGGAGGGGAACAAAAGTCCATTTGGGTTGCCAAGCCGTTAGCGTTTTACTGTTTTAGGGTGGCAAAAGCTAACCAAACAAAAGGTTGGTTTTCCAAAAGTCTTTTTTTAGAAGTCCATTTGCTTTTATCTTGACATCACCTCACTTGCAAATGATACAATAAGCACGTTATAACTAAAAAAATTGCGTTTAACAGAAAGAACTAATCCCTTACAACTTTGGTGAATCAAGATTTGAATCCCCGTTAGGAGAGATGTCCACATTTAATGCCCAGCGGTACTTCAAATATGATTATTTCTAATAAAAGGATACTTATACTTAAAAAAAAAAAAAGTTGATTATATTTTGTTTAAGGCATGTGTGAGAGGTTCAAACGCCGTTGCAAACACGATCTTAATTTGAATTACATCAAGCGTGGAAACGAAACACTCACTTATTTTTACAACTCTTTCACATTTCTTAGCAATTTTTTTCCCTAGATTTTTAAAGAAACTTTGTTTTTGTTGTTAATACTTTGACAAAACAATTGTGATAATTCACTGATTCTCAGTTTTGAGATTTTTTTTCCCAATTACTAAAGTAGATTTCGCCAAAACATGCACTACTGCACAGATGTGGGGAAACAAGATAAAATGCGCAGTGCTTGTAACTTTAATTTTATATTAGTATTAATACTGGTTTTTAACAAAAAAAGGTTATTGAGTTCAGGCCTCTTACTTCATTAATCTCAGAGTGCTGTATTTCTTATTTACTTAGAAATACCAATACTTTGTATATGACCTTTATGCATCGGGTTTTGATTGTCAATATCTATTTGAATTCTGATGGAAAAGTGTTCACATTTAGTGTTTAATGGTGAATTTTTGATTTGTAAGTAACTAGTTCCTCATAAATAAATTTGCCTCTTATTTTAAAAAAATAATATAATTTTAATAGTAAAGACTGATTTATAGCCTAGCTAGCCTTGAATCATTTTCCCGCTGCAAATATAATGGGCTTAGGTTTCTGTTTTTGTTCCATGATTGGCAACAGCTTAATGGATCTCCCACAAAACAAGGGGCCCAAAAAGTAATTTCTTGGGCCTGAATGATGACGAGCCTAAAACTTACGACCCAACCCCCATTTTTTAATGTTCTCGAGTTTTTTTCCCACTAGTGCCCTTCATAACACATTAATTTAAAGCTCCCACAAGGGCTTTTGTTTTTTCTTTTTTAAATACAAGATAACTTTGTCTAATTTTATAAGCATATATTTGTTGGCGTAGCAAGGACTAAATTGTTTAATTTCGGTATTGCTTATTTTGAAAAAAAATAAAGATTATTGAAGTCTTTTGTGAAATAAAAAAGGAAATGAAAAAAGAATATGTTAAAAAAAATACTGTTTGGCATGAATATGGAGTATAAAAGAACAAAAATAATTCTTCAAAAGATAACTAGGTGTGATAGAAATAATAAATAATGAATAATTCAAATTAAAAGGAGGATGAAATGCCTTTGAGGAAGCCGTATAAGGCTAGAATTAGGACCAAAAGTGGTTAGCCCTTCCGTTGAATAAGTCTTTTCCGCTTGTGATTTGATGACCAACTCAAAAAGCCACCTACGAGCGCTTCATAGCCAATCTTTCTTGATAGTACTTACATCCTTTATTTTATTACTTTTGTTGGTTAATTTAATGATGGATTATATTTACCATTGGGCTAGATATTTTGAAAATGGTTGAGTGAATAAACTCCTAAGCACAATGTTGATGGAACCCAAAACTTACTTCAATTATGGGGATAAATGTGCAGTAAACATGACCTTAATTACCAATTGACCCCTTCTATGATTGACTCAATTCGATGTATTAGCAGAAATTTGGTAGGACTTTTGAAGATAGAGGAAAAAAGTGCATTGACGGAGCTTATCAATTTCCTTCATTTGGTTTTTACTTTTACATGTTATGATCTTTGATTCTTGTGTATGTAATACTCTACTATTCTTTTTTCTGTGGATGAATTTATCAGGGTAATTGATTAGAACGTCAACTTTTTCCATAATGAAAGTGATGGAATGTGCAATTTTTAAGTTTCCTTGGGCACAAGTTTCATACAAATGGTTAGGAAGAATGACTTACGCATTGTATGAGAAGCAATATTTGACACAGGGAAATATATGCTGCACCATTTGCCCTTGCAACCCAAACAATTGGCCACCAATAACCAAAATATGTAGCCTAAAAAAAATAATATTCATAAGCAAGCTATCTAATTTAGCCTTCTATACAAAATTTATGTATTACTACTTTATATTCTTCATATAAGATTCAGTTGATTAATTTGAGAAAATTAAAAAAATTACTAAATTATTTTATAGTATTTATATTTATCATTTTTATTCAAACTAATGTGCCTCACCTATAAATTAATATATAATCTAACGATACACATAAATATTTTAAAGAGATCATGTAAGATATGCTATAATTAAGTAATTCTTATAAGCTATTATTATTTTTTATAAGCATAATTAAGTAGTTTAATAATTTTTCTTAATTTTTTTAAATTAGTCAACTGGATCTTATATTACTTCCGATTCTTAATATAAGAGCTAGTTTGACATTTAATTTTTATCCTAAATATAAGATCCCAATCTATTTTGCCTTTTATATTTATTTATTTTTTTCTAAAATAATTCTTGTAGTAGTTGCATATGTTAAATGTTTTATCAAATAGTAATTCTAGCTAATATATATGATTAGTAATGATATTTTAGGTAGGACAATATCTATTTATTATAAATAACTAACTTAACAGATTTTTTTAATCTATTCAAATTAGTTAGTAGTTTTTATATAAAGAAATGAAAGCAATACTAAGGACAGGAGGTAGTATCATCAAAAAAGTTGCCACGGGGTTAAAAAGGGCGTAATTAAAGTTAATTATATGAAAATCATATGATTGAAACTGTTTCCTTATGATTAGTGTAATGGCATTTGTGATGAATCTTGAAATAATATGACAAAAAAAAAAAGGAGAAAGTTAACACGAGTAAAAATATTTGACCGAGTGCTTGAAAATAAACATTAGTTGTACATTTCATGATTGAGGTTGTTGTCAGTAATTTATAAGCCTAAAATTGATCTCAGAACTTGCATATGTATGCGACATGGATCAAGTCATTAATATGCGAGTTAGGCTGTCAAATCAATATGACAGGTTAATTAGATACACATTATTTGTTTTTTTTTCTATAATTATAACTGGAAAATGATTCGCTTTAGTTTGAAACTTACAATTACTTTTTTTAAAAAATATTTTTATACAAATTAAGATAAATTTTTTCTCATATATATATGTTTATTTTGTATCTTATAAAATTATTTTTAAAAAATTAATGCACAGACCATAAAAAGATGATATGATGGGTTAAAAATCATGCACAATCATCAATAAAATGTTCCTCCTCTATTTTAAATCATATTCTACTACGATACCAACGAAGTAAATGCCATATTAAAGACTAGAAGCAGTGTGTATCTTTTAATTCCTCTCTTTAATACTTTTTCAGTTTTAAATATAAGATCTTTATATACTAATATATAAGGATCTTATATTTAAAATTGGAGGAGTATCTCTTTTGATCATCTTCTCTCATAAAGTCAGGTAACTTTTGGTTTAAAAGAAAAAAAAGAGCACTTACGGTTACTTAAACTATGAAAAATGACTTCTATGTTAAATATCCAGAATCCAGTAAAATTATGGCTTACATGTAAAAATGGAGGGAGTGTAAAATCTCGTATTCTTTCTAAATCATGAATAGTATAACTCATTTTTCAAACACAACGTAATGTTTTTTTTTTCAATTTTCTATTTTATGTCTGTGTAATAGTAAGGTCTAGAGAAAACTGCTTCATATAATAGATATATTGTTATAAGATGCTAATTATGATTGCTTTGCCCCAAACAAACTCCAATGACATTCTTTAATTAATACAAGTTGCACCAAAAAGGAAAAAGATTCTTGTAGTAATTTACCCTACCGTTTTAAGACCAGATTTACCAACAATAATAAAAATAAAGAATGGAAGAAAGAAAAGGGGGCGGGGAGTGAATGTAATGATTTTTTTCCCATTTGCCGTACGATGAAATGTTTATAAATAAAGAAAGAAAATGTCTCAGTATAATAGAAACCATTTTTAAATTATTTAACTCTTCAAATGAATGAGAAGTGTTTGTCGACTCCGTCTCTTAAATTCTATCTTATATCTATTAACTATTTTTTCATTTATAGTGACTTAATAATTAAGGATTCATTTTTTTCCCCTTTTTCCCATCACAGTTGCTTTATTTTCTTCTTATTATTTAACTAAACAAACTTACTCATTATATATAGCGAGAAAAATGAAAAAGATGAAATTAACTAAAAATAATTTTATATTTGATATCAATGATTGATGTATTTTTTAATTTCAGAATTTTTTCGTCATGCTCTACAACTCATGCTAACAAACTAAAATCACAAACATGAATGACAAAACTGAACTGTATATTAAAATTTTATAGAATTTTTTATTATTGAAAAGTTTCAAATAGTGCAACTCATTATATTTATCAAACTTTTAGGGATGCATCCTATGGCACTGAACCAGTTTCAGTACCTATCATTTTGAATGAACATCCTAAACTCATCAAATTTAAACTGTCTATATTATATTTGAATGTTTAGATTTAAAATGTTTAATTAATCATTTTTAAAAATATTTTTTAAAAAGAATATTTTTAAATTAAACTTGAACCATCTAAATGAGATATGGATCATCCAAATCTAATAAACTTAAGGTGCTTATCAAAGTAATAAGCACTGAAACTTATTCCCATCCCACTTGGTGTTTACTACTCCCTTCCCTCCGCAGAAATCTTACTGTAGGCTATCTCTCTTTTTTTTTGTTGGGGAAAAATGCTATTTCATCTATTTAATCTAATTTCCCCCTTATATGAAATTCCCTTATTGGTTAAATGCCTATCCATTAACTAGCTAACTTGTTAAACCATTAGAACAATAAAAATCATTAGATACTACATCTCATTCTTAATATAAGAGTTAAATAAATAATTTTTGAATATAAAAAAATTAGCTAAGTTAATTATTTGTAATAAATAGGTGTTATATTTTCTAAGATACTCTCCTTAATAATGTGCAATCAACATGGGAATTATTTTTTAAAAAAAATAAATAAATATGTGAGACAAAATAAATTATGATTTTATATTTAAAACCAAATTAAATTTTCAACTAACTCTTATACATTAATACCTGGATGTAGTACATTATAAGGATTATTTAAGAACAATTTATTGAAGAAACACTTTAGGCTTTTGCAGATTATATATATCACTTGTCAATTGGCTCACTTATATGAACTTGTACACATTTTTCCTTATGAAGACGAACTTTTACGCTTGAAAACAACACAGGAACAGTTCTTCATTTGATTTCTTCCTCTCAACAATGCGCAATTTGATCACTCCATGTCCTTTATTGCTTGAAGCACCGCCTGCCTCACCACTTGTGCATCGATGTTCTCATCGATCTCTTGACTCTGCAAAAATTAATTGTATATTTTCCTAATTAATTATACTATATGTACTAATAAATTAATTAATGAAGTAATGATGATCGCGAATGTTTCCTTTGTTGGCTGGTTCAAGCCATGTAACTATACAAAAGAGAGCGAATAAATCTATGTATGGGAGCCAACCACAGTTGGGTCAGCAGTACTTTTCATCAAGCAGAAATTTAAATTATTATTTGGGTCTCAAAATTAAAATCGTACAACCCCCACGTGAAGTTCATTTTTCCAATCCTATCTTTTAAAAAATTATCGTAGAACTCATAAACTCAGGAAGCTTAGAATTCTGATGCAGTTGTAGACATTTGTCAAATGAGTTAAAATAAAAAATATAAAAAGTAAAGATCATGATGATGAACAGAAAGCAATAAAATAATATCATGTGATTAATAATTTGTCTTACTTCTCCTCCCACAGCTTCTAGCTGAAAGGCATCTTCACAAGAAACCCTAGCATCAAGCACTTCAAGTCCAAGCACTTCAAAGGCTTCGAGTATTGAGACGAGCATTCCAGGGCAATTCCTTTCAGAAAACACATTTATCAGAAAACCCCTCTCTAGGGTTTCCACTGTCACCTGCCAAATTATCCCAAAATATAATAGATCCAACATTTAATTAATTAACGCGTTATTTATATTTTTACTAATTCTCTGAGAAAAACACACAAAATAAGCACCTTAGGTAATTGATTTTGGGAGGAGGATGAAGATTCTTCATTAGTAGTACCGCTGCTTCCCAGTTCTGCGTTGAGTCCCTCCACTTTTTGCTTCAACTCTTCTATGTATTTGGATGCATCCACAATAATTGAGGCTTTATTCACCTGACGATAAATCAAACAAGCAAACAAACCTTTAAAGATATACGCTGACATTTTCAATATCACTGAAGAATCAATATGGTAGTGATGCTGATGAGGAGAACTAATAATGAAGAGATAGAAGAGAAATTAAAATAACTAAAAGTAGGTTTGATTTAGATTAAGAGGGAAGATCCAAATCAAAATATATATTAATATGATCCCTCTGGATTTCTCCTCCATCCTGAGTAGTAATGAATATAATTGCTTCAACTTGTTTATATAGAATCATAGAGAGGGAATTACAGCACTAGAATTTGTGACATCTCGAAGCTGCTGTAACTTGTGTTGCAGAGAAGCCTTCTTTCGTCCCCTAGAAGCCATATATGTTTCTTCTTCCTCCTTCTTCTTCACTATTCTGCTTCTTATCGCTTTCTTTTTGTCTGCTTGGGCTTGGTTTTATCTCCTTTTTTCCTATCTGAGGCTACGAGGGGCTTTTCTTTATAGAGAGATCTCACAAATAAAATATATGCCATCCCTTGTTTGTTTCCTTCCTTCACCCTTACAACATGCTATGCCTGCTATATAGTGAATTACATATTTGGCCCCAGCGTTTTCTTCTATTCTACATGTGTGCCATCCACCTCTGAAATGCAAGGTGTACGTTGCTTAATCTATCACTATTCCAAGTAGCTAATTATTTGTGGATATCATGATGATGAGGTCTTCAACGTAAATTCCATATCCACTTTTTGTGATGAAGTGGCCCTAATTAACGCGGGGAATCTAAATTTCCCGACGCTTATTACTATATATATATATATATATATATATATATATTAACAAGTAGCAGATATCACCTTTTCCAAGTGGAGGTCAGATCAATTATAGGCTTAAGGAATCCACAGCGACCAGATTGAAAAGTCTTTCACCTTTATTTGCTTTATACTATTCCTGAAACTTACTATATGAACATGTTTTTACAACGTAAAAGGAAGAGTGAAACATACATACATACATACATATATATATATAAGGTTTGAAATGCGAAATATCTAAGCTAGATTAATACTAACATGGGGTTATCAACATTGAACGTAATTAAGTATATGTTCAAACATTAAATGAGAAACGTAATAGACTGAAACGTTGTGTGGGCAAAAAAAAAAAAACATAATAGTGTGGAGAGAGAAGGGAAGATAAAGCAGGCCCGTGAGAAGAGTTTGGAGGCATTGACAGCTAAACAAAAGGTTTGAGGGGATGGATGCTTGGCAATTTTCGTATGAATGTAATATATTTGCCATGCTAGTGCGTGTCTCCCCCGTCACATGCAGATTCCTTCTTCTCCTTTTCCCCACACCTCCCTCCCATAAACATTCTTCCTTCTTCTTCACATCTCTTCTCTCTCCACGTGATCTTTCTCTCACTTACTTCCCCCATCACACTAATTCAATTACTATATATGAAAAATTACGGATTATTTGGCATGGTGGTGGGATCTTCAAAAGTAGTTTTCAATTATGATTTATAGAGTACAAGATAAATATATGAGAAGAGTTTTATTTCCTTACATGAACAAATAAGTATTTAGTATCAGCTTAAAAAAAGTACTTTCACACTATATGTATAAGATAAATAAGTAAAATAAGTATTATTAAGTAAAGAGCAAATCTAATTATTTTAAAAGGTCCCAACGTCTTTATTTAGCATCAAAGAAATGCTTTTACCTGTTCTTAATATAAAAGCCATCTAACTAATTTGAATAAGTTAAGAAAGTAACATAAATTAGTTACTTATAAAAAATTATGACCTGATCTTTCTAAAATATTCTTATATAATATTAGATTATACATATCAGTTATTAGTTTGAGGAGGAAAAAATGATAAATATTTATAATAAAGTGAATCAAGGTCTTATATTTAAAATTGATCTCAATCCCACAACTAAGTCATATCTTGGGGACTGGAGAGAGTCTGTATAACCATATCCTGTACCTTACATATTTCAACGGATCAATATATAGTGCATGTTTCGTCTCAAGTTTGACATGCATCTGTTAATCATGTTAATTTCGAAAAATTTTCACTTGCTATTTGTTAACCATGTCATCTAAACATAACAAGCACTATATTATTCATAATTTGCAATTAATTTTTTAACATAATTTTTAAGACCTTATTAATACTGAATTGATATTTTGAAATTAAGGGTCATAAAAATTAAATATATTTTTTATGTGCTAATTAGAAGCTTAGTTAATTATGAATTTTCAAAATATAGCAAGACGCATGTCAACACTTTTTTTTTTTTTTTTAACTATAACTTACATAATCACTGTCTACAAAGAGTTCTTTTCTTTTTTTTGGAGCAAAACATTGTCTACAAAGAGTTCAAACGCACTATCTTGCACTTAAGAATTTTTAATTTTTAATAAAAATATTTGATGTCATTTGAGCTACAAGATGTGAGCGTCAAGTCGTCAACACTTGAATTGCCTGTTTGATTTGAAAGCATGTGGACCCAATAAGACGAGAAAATCCTAAAGCCAGTTATAATGTTACCAATATGTCCTTAATCAATTCCTGTTTAATAATATCCTTGTGCCAAACAACGAAGCGTATCATATTAACCCAACTAATGAAAGTAATAGGATTTGTCAGAGCTTAAAATATAGCTGCACGCTAACAGCACAAGCGTCATATTTCATCGTAGTTGGGGAAGGAATCATCCAAGTATATTTTATGAGTCCCAAGTCCCACGTTAGGAAGTCTTATAGATATTGTGTGGTTTAATAATGTCTCTCTCTCTTAACATTCTAATCTTTTGAAATGTGCTTTCTCTTTAGGCTTATATTTATCACATTGGTGTTCTTGTTAAGAGCCCGATATTTCTGGAGAGGACTACACATGGAGTGTTCTGATGCTCAAGAGGTATATGTATATGTGTCTGTCTATGCATATATGATATTTTGGTGATATTCTTGATTCTTCAAATTAAATATAGTAATATACTACTGGGCTACTGGCTTCTATAGGGGAAACAAAGATGGAATGAAATGGCAACCCGAAAAATTAGGATAAATTATTATAAAGTTGTGAGTTTGACTCTTTATTATTACGATGATAATAACTCACCTACCTCTATTCACGTGCTTTTCCCCTAGTCATCACAATAATACAATTTACAGCGCACACAACAATAATTAAATAATCGTTTCAGCCCCAAGCTACTTTCAATTTTATTCTCTCTGAGCATAGGGTTCTAGATGTACGTACTCAATCCAAGTACTCTCCCTCCCTCCCTCTTTAAAAAATACACACACACACACACAGACCTTTTTTTTTTTTTTTGCCAACGTACGTATAGACTTATCCGTTGAGATTTCTAATTATAGATAATTGTTCAGTTAATAATCAGATAATAGCAAAAGAAGGGATACTTTAAAAAGTCTTGTATTTAGGAATTTGGGTAGGGTGGTATGATTAGGACCACTATAGCATTATATGTTCAACATTATTAATATTGATTGGCAATTCTATATGATTGTATTCGGATAATTTAAACCCCTGGGAAATTATGTTTACCTCACCATCAAAATCTTTTCTTTAGTTACCAGCTAGTTAATTAGATACATTGTCTCATGAACTTTAGGAAATAAAGTATATTATTGTTCATAATTTATAAGTATGGTATCTCATTAAAATGGACATTATTATGCATTTCTGCGGAACTCAATATTGTTTATTAAGCTTGTATTGCATACTCCTCTGGACATTATTATGTATTTTTTTTGTCCTATTTATAAGTCACTTCATTAAATTTTGAACATGAATGTAATATTTTGTCCTTCATTGATTATAATGTAGATATTTATTCTTTTGAAAAATGTATATATTAAATGGGGATAAAGTTATGAAGTTGTTATATTTTAATGGAGAGTTAATGCAGTTTAAGATTTTTTTTTTATCTGTGTGAAATATGTTAGAAGTGCCTTATAAATAAGACTAAAGGAGTAATTTCCTATGACTATAGTGGAGTCCTGTAATTCATATACATGGTTTGAGATTATACTAGTGACACTATTAATGATCTATCCCTAAATTTCAAATCACACACACACACACACACACATAATTTAATCATATGATATAATTATATCCCCATCTCAATAACTCATCGTCTAATCAACAGTTAAATATTACTAACAAATTAAACATGCATATATATATATATATATATATATATATATCCCATTTATTCCTCTCATTTCACCATACCATGCCAAATTTTGGTGCTGCCTGATTATTGTCCAATCCATCGAAATTTGAAATGAATGAGTGAAGTAGTGAAAGAAAATCCATTAATTTAGGGAAATTACAGATATGCACAACTTATGTGTTTAATAAAATTATATTTAATTTCAAGAGGTGGAGAGATTTACTGCACTGTTATTGATATACTACCTACGGTCTTTATTATAAGATCTAGTGTGGAGTTTAATTTTAAACTATTCAACTTGATATTATACTGAGGAGCAGGTGTAATAATGTGTTTGTTGTTATATTTTATACTCCTTTGGTTTTTAATTTAAGACCTATTTAATTAATTTGATTAGATTAAAAAAGTTAGGTAAGATGATTAATCCTTTTTATATCAATAATACAGACTATACATTTAACCTTATAGCATAGCACTACTTCCAGTCTTAAATAGAAGAGCTAGATAATTAATTTATGAATATTAAAAAAATTAGTTAAGTTAGTTATTGGTAATAAGTAAATATTGTCTTCTCTGAAATATTCTTATTCCTTAACCAACATGTGCAATCATTATAGGGATTGGGCAAAATAGATTTTGAAAACAAATTGAGTTGGGGTCTTATATTTATGATTGAATTAAATCTCTAATAAGCTCTCTTATATTAAGAGATTAGCTTCATGACTCTATGGTTGGATTATTCAAAACCTCTCTCTTAAGCCCACAATAAATTGCGCAACCCACAATAAAATCTTGATGGTATACAAGAGAACTTTTCTTAATTCCCACTTGGTTTAATATATTTGCAAGAGATGACTCAGAATCAATAATTAGGCAGGTGCTTGCCTAATTAACGTTTACGTAATGATGAAGGATTCTGAAGCGGTGTTAATTTGGAAAGAAATGGAAAATAATGCAATTGATTAATTTAATTAATCAAGCTAAGAAATTAATCAATGACTTACATAACTTTAAAATATATAATCTCACTCTAGTGAAATTATATACACGTACTACTATATGAGAACTAGAAGTTTCTAATTGTATGTACTAATTAACTAGCCTATGCTCTTTTGATTAATTACAATTAAGAATATCATTCTAAGTTACGTATCAAATATATATGTTTCTTTATCTGTCGCGAAATAAAATATGCAATGAATTTGTTAAAAAAAAAAAGCTTTGTTGGAACACACGTAAGGTGAGAAAACCATTCAAGACTGAAAATAAAGGAACATATTCACAGACTTCATCTTGAGACAATTTATT